ATATATATATGATTTTACTAAACAAAATAATAGGAATTTGACAATCCACAAACCTGAATTTAATAAGCATAGCTCTGTATTAACCTTGAGAAATGTTCCTGTTATTTTATAGATTTACTCACAAAACATTTGTTGGGTGCCTACTGTGCAGCATCATTACAGTATATTAAATGCTGAGAACAGACTCCTAATGAGAGTCCTTCCATTGCAAGCGTATGCACAATTGAAAGGGAATACAGCACAGAAGCCTATTGCAATACTGCATGATAAAGCTAGGATAAGAGATGTAATGCAAGAGATAGTAGAAGTAGCAAACAGGTGAGGTTAATTTTGTGATTGGGAAAGGTATTCTCTGAAAAGTTGCAGTCATTACAGCTCAGAAAGATGAATTTATAGGAATTTGCTATATACATTTAGTGGAGGAAAGGCAACCTTTTGGAGGAAGCACAAATGGAAAGTGAGTGCACAGGAAGGAGGCAGCCGAGCGTGATTGAGATTAGAGTCCTGGGCAGTAGTTGGCACAGGGCAATCAAATCTTAATGGGGTTGGAGATCATCCTAAACAGTGGGAGTCAACTGATGAGTTTTAAATAGGGGTGGGGCCCTCAAGGATTTGCATTTTGTATGCTTTTGTTTTGGATGCAGTGGACAGAGGGAGGGTCAAGATCAGTGAGTGGCCAGAGAAGCTGTGGTTGTCACCTATGCTTGCATTCAGGAGTGCACGGGGAACAATCTGGGCTCAGTGATCAGCAATGGAGGCTCACCAAGGGAGACTCTCCTTTTCTCCTATGAGTGAGCCAACTGATTGGAAACCACAGGTCATGCCAGAGCAGGGCAGGGGCAGAGAAGGTGAATTTAGATCAGGACACTCTGGGACGCTGCTGGGCTCTTTTCCACCTTCTGGCTTTACCAGAATCTGGCTTTCTTCTGATGACTTAGCTTCCTTAGCCTCTCAAGGGAGGGCTACCTTTTCTCCCACATTCCAAGGATCTCAGGCCAGCAGGCTCAGCACAGTCTTCTTCCCCAATGCTGCCTCTTGACCTTTTCTCTTCCTTTTTGTTCCTCTAACCCTAGCTCTTTAGAGACCAATGCCACCTACCTGTCCCACTTGACACCTCTTTCTTGCCGTTATCTGCACATGCATTCATCAGAGATTTGGCACAGTTTTCATAGTCCTTTGTCTTCATCTTCCGTCAGCCCTTGCCCTTCAGAGGACATTACTCCTGTGGCAACCTCTCTGGTACCCACGCCTGCACTGCCTCATACGTGTTGGGCTTCCTCTTCTCCCCTCTTGCTGGCCAGCATCTCGGGTTCCCACAGGACAGTCTCACTACCCACAACCACACCTATCTTAAATTATCCATTTCAAGTTACCCACCCTGAGGACTATTTCCTGCCTTCCCGATATACTTGCTCTAGAGTCTAATCCACACGATTCTCCAACCTTATCAAGCCCTGTATATGCACCACTTAAAATCAATCACATGTCTGTAATCTCAGCACCGGAAAGGCTAAGATAGGAGGATCATGAATTTAAGGCCATCCTATGCTACATGTTCACACATGTGCACACACACACACACACACACACACACACCACAAACAAAAATACAACTTTCTCATTTTTGCTTTTTTCTCTTCCTAGCTGAGAGCAGTCTGTGACTACTCTCTTTTCCCATAGATCCTCAAAAAATCTGCCTGCCTCCACCTCTCTCTCCCTGTTTTGTCTGGGTAATCTTCAACCCTAAATGAATCCAAAAGTCGACCACAACTGCACCTGAGCACCGAACAGGACAGGAAAAAACAAAACAAAACTCAGTTGGACGCACTGTACTTTCAGTTCATGACCACAAACTCAAAGAAGCACTCAGCATGGAGCCCTCTACTTCCTCACCTATGTATGGCCTTTGCTTTGCCTGCTGGAAGCACTGGTTTGTCAAAATCTTCTATTAAGGGTAGTAAGACTTCACAGTTTCAAAACTCAGTGCACGTGTCTCAGCCCTTGCTTCCCTCTGCCTCACAGCAGCATGTGGCTCTTGGCCATTCTTGCCTCCTGGGAATCTTTTCTAGCTTGGCTGTGCAGACACCACACATTGGATCTTTCTTTTCCATTCTCTTTCAGCCTCTATTGCTAGCTTCTTCTCCTCTATCTGATCTGTATGCATCATCCTGCCTGAGTTTTTTGGTTTTTTTAATTTTAAGACAGGGTCTCATCTCACTGTGTAGCCCAGGCTGGCCTCGAACTCCTGGAGATCATCTTGCCTTAGCCTCCTAAATACTGGGATCACAGGTGTGTGCCACTGTTCCTGGCTTTGCTTTGGATTTTTGAGACAGGATCTTGCTATGTAGTGCAGGTTGGCCCTGAACTCACTCTGTACCCCAGGCTGCCCTTGAACTCACAGTGATCCTCTTGCCTCAGCTCCCAAGTGCTAGGATTATAGGCATGTGCCACCATGCCTGGCCTGAGACTGCATTATTAACAAGGCATGAAATTGCTAGAATGAACTATAGAGTAGGCTAGAGTAGATTTTCCCTTGAGGTTGGGTGTGGTGGTGCACACTTGTATTTCCAGCACTTGAAGGCTGAGACAGGACAATCACTAAGAATTCCAGGCCACGCTGGGCTGCATTAAGGACAGCTTGAACTACATATCGAGGTACATACATGTCTCAAGAAACAAAAGGTAGATTTTTCCAAAAATTGGCTTTTACATGTTGGCTTTAGATGTATATTTTTCTAGACCACTGCTTGTATTATATATACTCCATTTTGCTGATCTCAATTCAATACAGCTTTAAAGATTTCTTTAAATGTTTTACACTATGAGATTCAAAATGTTTTGTTTACTTCAAGGATCCTTTTGGAGATTCTTTATAAATTGTTAATTAGCACATATTCTCTATTTTGGTGATTGCTTAAAATTGGGCACACTAGTATTAAGTTCGGCTTTCTAACAATGACTAATTCGCACACCATGTGCGCAGTAGCGTCAGATGGCTGCTGGATACTCGCCAGCAACTAGACATCTACCACACTTCTTTTGGCCCTTTTACTCTCACACCACCTGCTTCCAGACGGAGGCGGAGACCTGACCCTCCGCGACCTCTTTGTCATGGCGCCCACCGGGCAGCTACCAGCCGACGGAGGCTCGGCCAGCCAGCGCGGCGCGGACCTTCCAAAGATGGCGGCACCCGGGCCCCAGCGCGCAGGGGGCGGGGCTCCGCTGCCGGAGGTGGAGCCGAGAGGCCGAGGGGCCGGGCTAGCAGGCGGGACGCTTCCGAATTAGGCAAGCCCAGCGCGCTTGCGCGGAGAGGCCCTGCGCGCAGAGAGGCTGTGGCGGGGGAAGGCGTCCGTGGGGCCGACAGGCGGGTTGAAGGAGGGAAGCGAGCGAGCGAGCGAAGTCCCAGAGCGCGCCGCGTCGGCCGGGTACCCTCCCCTTCCGGGCGTGAGGCGCTGTGAGAAAAGCCGAGCGGAGCGGACTCCACCGGCAGCGAGACGCCGCTCCCGCTGCTCCAGTCCAGCCTCCCTACGCTTCGGCGCTCCGCTCGCGGGCCCGGCTTTCTGAGCACACCCAGCTCCAGCCGTCCCCAGAGCCTGTCCCAGACCTTCAGAAGCCCCGGCGCCAGCCCGGGCCCTTGGCGGGGAGGATGACGGAGCTGCAGTCGGCGCTGCTACTGCGAAGACAGCTGGCAGGTGAGCGGGCGGGCGGCGGGGCGCCGGGCCGCGGCTGCGGGCGCCGACAGCCGTGCCTGCCGCTTCCTCCCCTCCGGCGGGCGGCTCGGGAACCCGGCCTGCGAGGGCTGGGAGCAGGCGGCTTGGGTCTCCCCGGCCCCGCACTGTTGCCCACCTCCCGGAGGGCGCGTGGGGACGCGACTCGGCCTCGGTTCTCGGACCGGGCCTGGCGCCGGCGGGGGAGGCCTCCCCCTCCCCCACTCCGCGGCGGGGCGTTGCGGGGGAGGGGCCGCGGGTCCCGGACCCGGCCGGGCCGATCCTCCCGGAGGGGCGGGTCCAGGCTCAGGTGCGAGGCCGCGGGACCTCCAGGCAGCCGGAGCGTTTGGGCCCCGCACAGCTGCGAGTGCCCGGCTCGGGAGTCCCGAGCGCGGCGGGCACCCGGGGCCGATGGGCAAGGGGAGACGCTCAAAACTTCTCCCCCGGCTGTGTCGGGTCCGCGGAGTTGCGGCCAACAACAAAAGCGGCGTGAGGGCGGCTTGGGCGCGGGGGCTCGGGGTCCGGAGCCCGGCGGGGTGTGGGACGCCGCCTCGCCTGCCTCCGCCTGGCACGGGCTCCGGCTGCGCCGCCGGCTGGGGGAGGGTAGGCGCGGGCACTGGGGAGAGAGCTCGCTGGCCGGCGCGGGCTTTGTGCTCGCGGCGACTCCGGCTGCCGCGCAGGCCCGCAGACCCTCAGCGCCGCGCCCTCCGAGACCCTCCGACTCCGGGCGGCGGCCTGATGTGCCTTCTCTCGGGAGCCTGCGTCCCCCTCCCCCATTGTCCCGGCCTCCGGCCGTTTGCGGCTTCCAGGTTGACTTTTTAGGGGGTTGGCTCCTACTCTGCGAGGACTGTGTGAGCCGAGCATGCGCGTTGGAGGCGTACGTGTGCGGAGTGGAAGGGGGGAGGCGGGTTGGTGGCTTCACAATGCCGCCCCACGTGCTGCCAGATTTAAAGAGAGATGAACCAGCAGTTACCCCTGCTGTCCAACGCCCAGAGTGTGTCATTCTCGGTGCTGGCGATTTTCCTCTTCCCCACCCTGCGCCGACTGTCTCAGGCTCTGGGCAGAAATTGGAGGCCTGAATGAAAAAAAAAAAATTGAAAGAGATTTGACTGTGAGTTTGAGGTTTTAGTTAAATCACCTTTATGACTTAAGGAAATGATTGTCGGGGGGTGTTACAGATTGTATAATTAGGTTTATTATTAGACCATGAGCAAGCAGCTTTGGACAAGCGTTAAAAGTTCTGAATGGCCAAGGGGGGTGACTCGAAGTAAATGGAGAAATTCTAGTGATACTTGTCAGGAATGTGTGAGGAAAAATCAAAGAATACAAAGTTTGTCACGACTTATATTTGCTAGCACCCTTTTTCTATTTTTTATTTATTTCGGCGGAACTGGAGATTGAACTCAGGCCCTTGCACTTGCCAGGAAAGCGCTCATTCTACTGAGCCATCTCCCTGACCCACTCCTATTTTTAAAAAATAGAAGTTAAGATATAATTTTGTCTCCCTAAGAATTCTTTAGTGTTTTTGTTATGTGAACTTTTGAGTAGAATTTAAATAACAAAATCAGTATTAATACACTATTACATAATGAAAAAGTCAAACCATTTAAAAAGGTGCAAAGAAGTTAATGCAGTTACTAGGAAAGTAAAATATGACTAATAAGGGTGTTAGCAGTACCAGTATGGCAGAACTTTCCTATTTGTGAGCCTTAACAAGATTTACTGAAAAGTATGTTCAGTGTGCTTTTTTTGGGGGGGGGGCAGTAATCCAAACATTGATAAGAAACTTCTCGAAGTTCTTTACTAATGGGTGGCTTTCTGATAGGTCACAGTAAAATACATCTTTTGGGTGTGTGTGTGTGTGTGTGTGGGTGTGTGTGTGGGTGTGTGTGACACAGGACCTCCCTATGTAGTTTAGACTGGTCCTGAACTCAGTGTGTAACCTAGGCTGGCCTCCACAGCGATCCTGCTGCCTCAGGCTAGGTAGTGCTGGGATTTTAGGTGGGTGACACCACACTGTCTGGCACAGTAAAGTCTTGTTTTCTTGTTGTTGTTTTGGACCTGAGAATGAACTCATGACCTCATGCTTGCTGAGCTAAATTCCAGGCCCCTAAAATACGTTTTTTTTTTTTTTGTTTGTTTTTTTTTTGTCTTTTTGAGACAGAATCTGACTATCCAGTTCAAACTGGCCTTGAGCTCACTTTGTAGCCCAGGCTGGTCTCAAACTTGTAAGGATCTTTCTGCCTCAGGCTCCCCAGGGCTGGGATTATCCTGGTGTACCACTACTCCCAGCCCTCAAATATGTGTTAAGGTAGATTTAATTTGTATTTTTTCAGTCCTCTTTAAAAATTTTTTCCAAGCCTCACTTTAAAGTTACTTAGCAGTATATGTTCTTGCTTTGTTGATTAAAGATGATGGAAGCGTTCTTAATATTTTTTAAAAATTTTTAAGGCTTTTGAAGCCAAGGCAGTTAATTGAAATGCATGAGTGTCAAGTAGTTTGGAAAGACTCAGTGATTGCTTAAAGACTTTGTTTTACTGTAGTAGTATTTTGTTTGAGCTTTTGTGCGTCTTCAAATGCAATTTGAAAACAAGAATGAATGGTAAAATGTAATCTGTTCAAATCATTTAGATGAGTTTTTGTTAGGTTTGAAAATGTTTTACGAATCTTGAAACGAATTGAGTAGATAGCATGAAACTCTAAGCCATTTTAGCTGTTAGAATCCCAAAAGTTCATTTGTTGGGGGGGGGGTGTCCTGGTGTGTAAGCAGGTGTATTGTTTCATTGATCATTGTAGTGAAGAATGTATTGTAGTTATTTTCAGAAGGGAACAAAATGGCTCTTTGGGCTGAGGTTTTTCAACCCTGTTAGGTAATTTGGGATAATTGTTGTTAGGAGATCCTGTACTGTGCATTATAGATTGTTTAGCAGCATTTCTGGCCTCTACCCATTCCACCCAGTAGTACATACCATTATTTATGACAGAGATGTCCAGTGCCAAGTAGTGCCCTGAGAGATGAAATTATTCCAGGTATAAATAAAGCCTCCAGGTTAAGAATTTTTGGTTTGTTTTGCGATAGGGACTCACCATGTGCTTAAGGCTCTCCTTGAACTCACTATGTAGCTCAAGCTGGCTTGGAACTCTTGATTATCCTTCTGACTCAACCTCCCAAGTGCTGGGATAATAAATACGCACCACCCTGTCCATCTTGGTGGTTAAGGTGTTTTAGTGATGACCATTGTGACTGTTCTGAAACAAGTAAGAACACCTACTAGGTTTTTAAAATCAGAAACTGTATCTTGTGTGTTTCCTTTCTGATATCATTAGATTATGATATTCCTTTGTGAATAGTGACAATTCAACTTCAAAACAATATTTATTTATTTGGTACAGGGTCTTCTACACAGCTCAAACTCTTAGTGATCCTCCTGCCTCAGCCTCCCCAGGGCTGGGATTAGAAGTATGTGCCACCACACCCAGTTTTGGGGCCCAGGGTTCTTGGGCAAGTACTGCATGTAGTACCAGTGATCG